GCGGCTAGTAAAGCGACCAAAACGCTGGCTTGCATCCATAGATGCTTCTCAAGCAAATCCCAGGACGTCATTCTCCCCTTGTACTTGGCCTTGGTGAGGCCGCAGCTGGAGTACTGCGTCCAGTTTTGGGCTCCACAATTCAAAAAGGATGTGGAGAAGTTTGAGAGAGTCCAGAGAAGAGCCACGTGCATGATCAGAGGTCAGGGAAGCAGACCCTACGATGACAGGCTGAGAGCCCTGGGGCTCTTTAGCCTGGAAAAGCGCAGGCTCAGGGGTGATCTGATGGCCACCTATAAGTTTATCAGGGGTGACCACCTGTATCTGGGGGAATGTTTGTTCACCAGAGCGCCCCAAGGGATGACGACTAGGTCGAATGGTCATAAACTACTACAAGACCGTTTCAGGCTGGACATAAGGAAGAATTTCTTTACTGTCCGAGCCCCCAAGGTCTGGAACAGCCTGCCACCGGAGGTGGTTCAAGCGCCTACATTGAACACCTTCAGGAGCAAACTGGATGCTTATCTTGCTGGGATCCTATGACCCCAGCTGACTTCCTGCCCTTTGGGCAGGGGGCTGGACTTGATGATCTTCCGAGGTCCCTTCCAGCCCTAATGTCTATGAAATCTATGAAATCTATTAAATCTATGAAATCAGTGCCCACACACATGTTGCTGTGCAGTAAATAATGCCACCTCAGGACAGTACTTGTATTTACAAGTACTAACCTATGGCATGGTTTATTAGTTTACTGCAAACTAATAGGGCTGCACGTGTAGATGCCGAGACTTTAGTGCACAGCTAATTAGGTAGCTCTGCAGTAAATGTCTTGTGTAGACGTGCCATCTGTTTTCTAAATAAGGGTTTGTCCTACCACCTTTTCTTTAGTTTAACTCCTCTTAACATTAATGATTGCTTTGCCTAAGCAGGGATGGAATGGTCTGGCCCCTCAGAGACAGACTGCCCCATAATGTTTGCCCAACTTAAACAAGCAAGACCTTCAATCTAGGTTGCTTTTAAGGCAATAAAAATTTAAAGCACAACTGGCTATATAGCTGTAATTAGTATTAATTAGACGTAATGGTTCCGGGAAGTTGAACTCAGGAGCATGTCATATACAAACACAAATCTAAATGATGAGATAATATTTTATCAATTTGTGTTAAATTGGAGCAATATAAATAACCATAATAATAAAAACATCAACCATAATGTGTGTATGGGGTTTGGGTGTTGGAAGTAAAAGCTTGTAATAGAAATTGAGGTAACATATTCCATAAAAATAAGCAATGGCAACTATAGCAGTATAGGGACACAGAAATCATCAGAATGAACCAGAATAACTTTGGTCCAACTAGCCAGCTACATCATCTCTTACAAAGGGCAGTGCCAGACGCTTCAGAAAAAGGAAGGTCACCTGATGCCACAAAGCCTTTCCAAAAGGTCTCCCAACTATACAACTGGTCCAAAAAAAGATATCACAAAAAATCCTGGCCTCTCAGAAAAAGATTCAAGGTACTTTGTAGTAGGCCAATGTGGTAGTAGCAGAATGAGTGGTACAACATTGAGCCCCAGGTTCCCATTTAAACGGGGTGCATGAACAGCAGCTGCCATTGCTGCTAGCCCATCCCTAGTCACCATCCCTGCCACTGCTGTCAAGGAGGGTACAGACCCTGGCTTTTATACCTTTGTGATGTGGACTAATTAATTCTTCCACAAGTCTCTCATTTTAACCCCCCTTTGTTTAGAAAATGTTTCAGAGAAACCTCATAGCAAGTAGTTATGGAATAGAGAATGCTTCTTCCTAACTCCAGGTAATAAAGAATATCAGCTGTCAACTGGATTTTCCATGCCTCATTGGAGTTCACATCCTTTTGGGGTTTATTGCAACATGAATAAGTTCACATGAAATAATCCTGCTACCTATTGGAATCAGGATCAGCCAAAGCCAAACACAAAGATCCAAAAAACACAGTCTTCTTCAGTCAAGCATCAGCATTCCAACAGCATGCAAGTAAGCGATGTGGCTAGCATCACATCCAGGCACCTCTGGCTTCTCAGCCTGAATGACCAGCTGAGATAACTGATGGAAGCCTTTGGCATGTATCTTGAGAGGGTCTGAAACTCACATCTCCAGATGCATCGCTAGAGACCTCAGGCATTGGGCCACCATGCCCCATGCTCATCATTATGAACTGGAAAGTTACTTATTAATTCTACAAAGCAGAATGACACCACTACTCAGCAAATCCCTACAGTCAGAGCATGTAAATAAATGCCACAGTTTATTCCTTTCTTGCCAATCTCACCAGAGTTTATTTACCCCACCACGGTGTCTTATTTGTATTCATTATATAAAGAACTATGGAAAAAGTATTTGACTAACAATCCACAGAGAAATCCCAAAATTAAATGATCAATAACTGTTGCATAACTAGGGAAGAGCAGGGAGAGGAAGAAATGCTGTATTGTCCCTACAGGGTTTATTTGTGCAATCATACGCTTAATATTTCATATTGAATATGATTGTTTGAGTGAATAATCTGACATTTGACTACAAAACAACAGGGACTGACAGTATTTTTTATTGATCTATCAAAATATTTGAAGGATTGATTACTACCATTTCCAAGCCATTCATTCCTTGAGAGCTGCAGACAGAAAGTTATTGCAGTCCATTGCAAGCAAAGGGAACATACAGCTCTAATACTCTTGATTAGAAAGGCAATTCTAAGTCTTAGTGTTATAGCCTTGGACTGACTATGATAAGTGACAAATTCTTTATAATTAAGGAACCTATTCAACACCATGCTATAGATTATTAATAGGGTTCATTGAACCCTAAAAGGTTCTTCCTTCATATCCTCGCTTCAGTTAAAAAAAAAAAGTTATGGTGGTCTCAAAGGAAAAACAATGAGATTACATTGTTGGTTTCCTAGAGTGCAGCAAAATATGCCTGGTAATGAAACTAAACTAAATTCATTACAATCAGGTGGCAAAGAAATAATTAAATGACTTAAGTCATGTAAGGTTGGCTTCATTGGCAATTCTTTCCCTCCTGAGTGTAATTAATGAAAAGCACTTCTCTACCCCTCAATAACAAACCAACAAATGAGTCTCCCACATCTTTGTCAGACATTTACCTTCCAAAATCATGCTTCCATCCAGGATTAGTATTGTAAAGTATCCTAAGGGTACTTAGGCTAAGAGAGAAGCAGGAACAAAAAAAATTTGTCTCTTCAGTGGTGTTAATTCTATCAGCAAGATACATCCAAGTTGTACTCTAATCAACAGTCACTCTTGGCATAACCACTTGCACAGACAAGGCTGGGAGGGGGAAGGCAGGGGGTGAGAGAAATGTAACAAGTCAGATTAGTAAAAAAAGGGTGCTTTGGCTCCTGAGAAACAAACATGGTTAAAGTTCACAGGAGGTTAAAAGGAAAAGGAATGCTCAAAGTACTGAAAGGACTAAGGCAGGGGTTCCCAAAATGCAGTATGCATATCCCTGGGGGTACACAAGACATCTCTGGGTTGTATGCAGGAGAAACTGTGTAATGGTGGATTTAATTTTCATAATAATAATAATTGGCATTTAAGGGGTTATAATATAAAACGTATGCTGGTAGGGGTACGTGGGCAGCTGGTAACTCCAGAAGTGGGCACACAATTAAAAAAAAGGTTGGGAACATCTGGTCTAGGGGATTCTGGAGGGCTTTGTTAAGTAGCAGCCTAGGGCTGAAAACAGCCTGGCTGACAACCAGATTCAACCAATGTTTCCTCTAAGCAGTAGTGGTCTGTGAGCGCGCTGCTTCAGCCCCGCCTCTCCCTTTTGGCACAGTCCACCAGTAAGTGTCCCACAGTAAGTGTCCAGGTGGGAGCGGGCAGGGTTCAGCCACCACCCTTCTCCATATTAACTGCTGCCCAGAGCAGCGTAGTGGAGTGCTGTGGCCCAGCCATAGGCCAGACACAATTAATTGATAGAACTGAAAGGGAAGCACCAAGGCCAGCATGGGACACTTACCGAAGGTAAGCTCCTCACTCCTCATGCAGGGCAGGCAGCAACTGCTCCTCTGTCCCAGCCGCCTGCAGAGGGTTTGGGATTGAGAGTGTGGTTGGGGGTAGAAAGGTAAGAAAGTTTTATTGACTTAACAAAAACACAACTACACATAATAACAAGACAAACAATGACAGACAAAAGCAATTCGCGTCGGCAACTTATCGGCAGTCCCCTCTGATACCTGATACACAGCAAGCTTCTCTTTCCACAAAGTTCAGCCAAGTCAGGCGTCCCTGAACAACACTGTCTGAGGGGTTTCAGGAAGGACCCTGGAATGCAGTTCTTGGGCTCCTCGAGGTCCACGGGCCCACTGATCCAGGCAACAGCTAACTAATCCTTTTTACAGAGCTGTATCTTCCTTCTGAATGGTTTCCAGATATTCTAGCCAATTTAAAGCTTCTGAATGGTTCTGATAACATACAACCACTCAGATCCCTTTTACTTTAACTGTCCTTAGACTGACCAATTAGCAGTACAAGCCTTGCATTCCTTTGATAAGGTAATTTTAACTACACCACAGGCCTTACTACTTCAAGGCTTTGCTAAATTTACTCGGCCTTACTTTATAGAAGGCTTCACTACATCTTAGATTTTAATTAGGCTTTTAGCAACAACATATAGCTTAATATCTAAACAAATACAGAAAAACACTTGATATAATCTTCATAGAGCCTTCAGCAAGCACCTTTATTACACAGACATAATTTTCAGCTGTCACATTCCCCGAGGTGAGGCAAGGAAGGGCTGGGGGCTGATGCAGGCTCTGCCGGCTCCAGGGAACTGTTGCACTCCCCAGCCCTGATGCCATGTGCCACCTCGCTCCCCAAGGCAATGCAGGGGTGCGGTGCAGTTCCCTGGAGCTGGCAGAGCCCGCGCCAGCCCCCAGCCCCAGGCCCAGCCCCTGTACCCCATCCGCGCTCCTGCCTCGCCTTGTTTGTTTTGTAAAACATTTGAGCATGGCAAAATGCCCAAAGCTACTGCAGAATTTCAAGTTGTTTTAGGCTCTGCCAATCACGCTATTCAGAGTGCTTTACATTTTGGTTAGAAGATGATCCCTGATTCATAGGCCATGTATGCCATAGTTGGCATAAAAGATGCTTCTCATATCAAATGGTGAACACTTAATATCATCATTTGTATGCAGTAAATTGTACTTAATCAGAGACTTCTCATAAAATGGGCATACAATTGTGAACACTGCAATGTGGGGGTGCAGAGTAGTTCCCCGGAGGTGGCGGAGCCCACAGAGCAGTTCCCCAGAGCCAGCAGAGCCTGCACCAGCCCCCAACCCCAGCCCCCATCCCCATCCCTATCCCCGCCCCCCACCTCGCCTTGGGGCAGAGCCACTGCCTACCCTGCGTGAAGAGTGAGGGGCTTACCTTCAGTAAGTGCCTCACGCCAGCCCCAGTGCTTCCACCACACTGTGTACCCAGCTCCTCTCTGGGAGGGTGCATGGCATTAAAAAGTTGGTGTGCGGCAAAATTTGTAATTGTGTGTGGCTGCACACATGCACAGCTTAGAGGGAACCTTGGATTCAACTAAGCCAGAAAGAGCTGTAAACTGAGGCACATGCTTTTGTTCTGTTTGCTTTTGTAAAAGGTCTCCATGTCAGATGTGTTTTACTGTGATTTCTGGATTAATAAAAAGGTTCCAAAATAATCTATGAAGGGAAGTGTTGGGGAAAGCCTCAGCCTCTTATAAATTCAGACCCTACACATCAAACATAGAAGCAAGTACACAGCAAGACTAGGTACAGACATTCAAAAAGCCTGAGGCAGAATCAATTTAAGTTATGCAGCTTTCTGTAAGCAGCATAGTTTAGATCAGTAGTAAACAGAACAGACATTTGCCCTCTGGTGGGAGGAGTGGGGCAAATCTTAGACTGGGTTCCACCATTCTTAAACCAATCTGTGCGCCAAACTTCTGTTCTGTCATGAGTATAGACCAATTTTGTGTGCCAAGCTTCTGTTCCACTACAGGTACAGACTGGTTTCTGATCACTTATCCCAGTAAAATTATAATGTCTGCAACTAGCCTAAGAGATAATCCTCTGCTCAGTAAGGTCCAGTAAATAACTAGTTAGAAAGTAATAGAAAAGATCGATTTTTCCCATCTCTGGCTTCTTTGCAACTGCAGTACAAGATGGAAAAGAAGATTCCATCTAGTGGCATGATTTAGTCCTTTACTAGAACTACTTGTGGGGCAGCAGAACAAGATGCTATGCCTTATGCAAGACTGAACATAAATTCATAATTACAGCCACTTGTAACAGGATCAATTTTTCTTACTCTCCAACACCTTTTACATTTGGTATCAGATTCACTTCTGCCCAAAGAGGATGTCTCAAAATTTAGCCCCACTCTTCTTGTAAATCATTCTGAGGATGTTGAACATTCTATATTCCTCCTACCTAAAAAAAAATGCTCCTTCATGAAGGCATTATTTTCAGTAGTTTTTTAGCTCTTAGCTAACCATGATGTCACTTTAATGGCAAGTGTGTATATATTGTAACAGTTTCCAGAAACCAAGAGAAGAACATGTGCACACAGGGGTGCACAGACATGTTCTTGTTCCATTCCCACTAAGAATAGTATCATTATGCAACCTCACAATCTTTTTATCAGTAGGTTAGCACAAATATTCACATTCTGTAAAGTTTATAATGCAAACAAGCCATGTCTCCTTACTAGGGGGAGTTCCTTTACTAATGTTAGTATTGCTATGAATTCATGGATCCTACTCTCTCAAAGACCAGAAGAGCAGATATGCTCTCTAAACTTTTTGTCACATATACCACCTGAACCAGGTTTTATTCCACTTAAAGGTGGCCATCTTTGTTCATACCAAAATTTTTTTACCCATGTATTCAGCTGAGTAAAGCAGATAAAATATAATATGTTTTCACTGATCAGGCAAATAAATATGATTTTTAAAATAAAACAGAGTTCTGAAGATTCACCTGGTACTGGCAGAGACAGAAAAGAGAAAACCAACACAAATCATATTTCATGCACAAACAGCTAAGGAGACAGTCTGACTAGAGTCTCCTTGTGGTTTAGATTCCTCTCTCCTTATATCCTCCTAATGTTAGTATTGGGCCTCTTTCAAGATCACTCACTTGAAAAGAAGGCAAATGACAGTAGAACCCCTTAGAACAGGGGCAGGCAAAATACAGCCTGCAGGCCAAATCTAGTCCACCAGGTGATTTTATCTGGCCCATGGGCACCCATCAATTAATTGTACTCTCAGCCAACATGTCTCGCTCCCACCCTCATGCACAGGAGGGCCCTGCCCTGACCAGCATGAACAACTTCCAGATAGAGCTGCTGCTGCCACTGCTGCGGCCACCAGGGGACTTGCTATGCTTCCCTGGCCTCCAGCGGCTCTCTCTCATGTCCCTGCTGCTCCGCTCATTCCAGGAAGCAGATAGGGAAGTGGTGGCAGGCAGGGAAACTGCAGCTGGGTGCAAGCATGGAACATGGGGCTGGGGCTGCTGGGAGTACAGAGCCCAGGGCCTGAGCCCAGGGGGGCGGCGGAAGCACAGACCTTGATTGGGCAGGGTGTGTGTGTGTGGAGTTTGTGGGGTGTGAGAGAGATTGGAGGATATGTGGGGAGCCCACATGCCCACCCATAGCACACAGCCCCTGCTGCCGGTGGTGACAGCAGCAGGTGGCAGGCCCCTGGGGTGCTCATGGCCCGCACAGGTGCAGCCACTGGGTGGCGCATGGCTCCATCCAGTTCTGGGAGCTGCCCATGGCAGCAAGGAGCAGAGTCAGGCCAGCCCATCTTTGTTGCACAGGGCTCACATGCCACTCCTGGCATTTGCACAGCACTGGGGGGAATCCCCACGCGATGGAGATGATGGCCTGGCCCCACTTTCTAACACCACATGCAGCTTCTAGGACTCTGCCAGGAAACAGGGGTGGGGCTCCTCTCCACTTCCAGCAGAGTCCTGGCAGCTGCACGTGGTGACAGGAAGCAGGGAAAGCAGTCGGATCCATCATGCGGGGCTTCCCCCTGGTGGCACATGAGTGCTTGGAGCTGCACATGAGCTGTGAGGAGTCTCATGCAACAGCGGTGGGCTGGCCTGGCTCCTCTCCTTGCCACCACATGCAATTCCCAGAACTGGCTGGAGCTGTGTGCCACCCAGTGGCTACACCTGCATGGGCCATGAGCACCCTGAGGGCCCACCATGGGGTGGGCAGGTGGGGGATCCTGAAACCCTCCTACCCTGTCAAACACCCCAATAAACCCACACCCCTACAACATCCCACATATACACACAGCCCACAATATACCCTACACTCCCCCACACACGCAGCCACACCCCTTCACAAACCTCAACACACCCCCCCACACACATACACACACACCCCACACCCCACCAAACACACACACACACCCCTGCCAACCACACCCCCCACATTCCCCCACACACAATATACAAGAGTAAGTCTTTATTTTGAGCTATTATGCTATATATATTACACAAACACAAATCAGGACAAAAATATTTTTTGAAATAAAATTAAAATATCTTATAGTAGATGTTTTACTTTTAGTATATGATTCTTTTTTCTGGTTCCAAGATGGCAACTCCCCACTACCAAAAGGACTACTTCTGGGGGCAAGGGGAAGGATTTGTCATGGCAAATGTCAAGATATAGGGGCAGGACTTCTGGTCCCACTATGGTGACCAGAGGGCAGGGCACCTGTCAAGGGAAGGGCAGCTACCCTTGTAGCCCTCAACATCTCACCAAAACTCATTTAGTGGCCCTCCAGCCAAAATAATTGCCCACTCCTGTCTTAAATACTGTTCATTTGAGACATCATATTGCCAAAAATAACCATAAGCTCAGGTTCTTATTTTTATCCCTTTCTTTCCAGGTCTTGTATATTTGATAAGATGAAGGATTTTACACATTAACAAATAGTACTATGGCAACCATCAAAATGGAGCATCCGTTTTTGAGCAAAAGTACTAGTGGTTCCTTGCTCTCATGGAAACATAAGAGAGAGC